ATAAAAAAAGAATAAAAATCCTCAAATGAGACTGAATTGGTTATACATTGCACTTCCTATTCTCTCAAACTCTTGACACCCAAGGAGAAAAATATTGACCAAAAAATAACTAAAACAAAAACTCAAAGACCTCCTTGACGATAAAGCTAATTTAATAAGCTTTTAATAAATTTAATTACAAAATATATTATGATCCTTATTACTGCATAAGAAAAACATATTATGACCCCTTAGGTTTCAGTTCCCTTCAAGCGACCTGCTCTGGCAGCTACAAAACATCATGAGAAAATTAACGAGAGGTAGTAAGCGGCATCGGTTGGTGTAAACAAACAAAAACTGTAAAACCTGTTACACTTTTCTCCTAGGGCGGGTGGCGAATTGTTCTCAGAGCTATAAAAAGTTCAGCATGATTCCAGGTGGTTATGAGGTTTTAAGAAACGCCTCTCTTCTTGTTGCTGCAGTTCATTTTGAAACAAACGTTTACTTCTCTCAGGTGGATTTTCCTGATGGTATCACACCATGTCAGATGTTTGGGTTGCTGGTTCCACCTCTGAGCCGGCATCTCCCCGGCTCCCCAGATGAGCCACTGGAGGTGAGGGGCCTCGCCCTGGACTCAGGCTGCCTCCCTCCTGAGGCCGCACCACGTGGTGGAGGGAGCCTTCAAACCCCCGCAGCCTCTGTGGAAGGACACCCAACATCACGCGAGGTCCTCAGGATCCCAGAATAAGGGGCCCTGGGAAAAGGCCACTGAACACAGCGACCCGTATTTCATGCTTAATCATGTTATTTTCAGGTTTGGGTGGGATTCTCTCTTGACAAATGGAATTAAAAGTTATCTTTAAAAAAATGTCAATCCTCATTATATGTGGATTCCATATCTATGAATTCATCTCTGCTAAAATTTGTTATCCCAAATCAATAGTCGTGAGAAACCAACCCTGCTGACACCCTGATCTTGGACCTGCAGCCTCCAGAGCTGTGAGACAATGAATCTCTGTTTGACCCCCTCCTGCATAGGCTCTGCTCACTCTCTGTGCTTCCGGGGGAGAGGGCGTCCTGGCCAGTGGAGCACCTGCCGCCTGGGCTGGGCTGGGGCTTCGGGACCTCCTGGAAAGGAGGCTCATCACACCCACTGCTGGTCATAAAACCCAGGTCTAGCCCCACCCCCGCCTCTCTCGTGCTGCGTCATGTGGGGAAAGTGCACTTTCCTTGCTGAACCTCACTGGCACTGGCTGTAAAACCGGCTGATGCTTTGATCCGCTCTGCTGTCTCTCAGGGTGAAGTGTGAGCCTGGAATAACATAATGGGCAGTGTGAGCCTATCATTAAGCAATTAATTCATAATTATTCATTGAGTGTTTCCTGAGGCCTGGCGAAGATGAGTCACGCTCAAATCCAGCCCCCCAGGAGCCCTCCCTGTGGGGTGCAGACTGACAGACGTGCCACCTGCTCACCCCAGGACTCGTCCCCTCTCACGTTCAGCTGCTCATCCATAATCCATTTATCCAATAAACATTATCTGAGCCTCCGGGTGCCAGGGGCTAGAGACCCAGAGATGAACCAAACCCCCCTCCCTGCCCTGGAGCATCTCCCTGCTTTAAAGCACCATACAAAGAGAAAACGTTAATTATTATTTTGAGTAATAATTATAGCGGTGCTACAAAGCAGCCGAGAAGCTTCGGTGGAGTATGGGCTACATCTGCTGCCAAAGGAATTCTTGCCCTCGGGCCTGGGGAGTCGGGTAAGAGCCACTTTCCTTCCATCTTTATTTACTCCTTCATGGGCAGGCTCCAAGCTGGGAGCTGGCAACCACTGAGTCTCTGTTACTGAGTTGCTCACCAGAAGGTGGGCGAGCCAGTCACAAAAAAATGGTCTGAGCGTGAGACGGAGAGAGAAAGGGCACTGTGGAAGCGCAGATGAGGTGCTTCGTCCAGGTTGATTGAGGTGGGGGTGGTCTGGGAAGGCTTCCTGGAGAAGGCGGCATCTGAAGTGATCACTGAGGGGTGTGCGATGTTACCAGGTAGAGAAGCAGAGGGACGGTGTTCCAGGGAGTCATTTCTTCATTCCATTCCTCACCAATATTTAGGGTACACTTCAATGCTGGAGGAAAAGCGGTGGTGTGCAGACTCCACTGCGCAAGTCATCCAGGTGATGTGTACGTGAACAGCTACGTAATCTATGGGGCCCAGTGCAGAGTGAAAATGCAGAGCCCCACGTTTAAAAAAAAAGATATTAAGCATTTTGAGATGGCCACAGGAGAGCATTAAACTGAGCGTGGGGTCCCGTGCAACTATACGGGTTGCAGACTATGAAACTGGCCCTGGATATGTGTGTGAGTTTTGTCACTTTTGGTTTTGAGAGCAGATAACGTGACTTGAAAAGGCTTCAGGGGACTTATTATTTCACGCAGAGAGAAGCCTGGAGGTAAGGAAGCCCCAGCGAGGGTGGGTTAATTCAGCAGCTCAACCACGCCTAGGAGGACCAGGTTCCTCTATCTCTCCTCCCTCCCATCCTAAGTGGGATCTCTGACTATCACCCCTCATGGCACCCACGTGGCTGTGCAGTTTAAGGTGTCACCCACAGGCAGGACAATTCTTGCTGCTTATTTCTCGTTTGAGAGTTGGGAAAACCTCTCCTGGAGGTGCCCCACAAATCCGCCTTCACATCTCTTTGGCCAGAATGGTGCCCCACACCTGAGCCTGAGCCAGTCTCGGGCAAGGAGAGCCTCACGATAGGCTGACCACCGAGCACTGGCCCCTTAATGGGTCCTCATTATTCCTGGACAACTCTGAGCGCTGTATCACCACCATTTCAGATGACGACACCAATTAACCGGTTTGCCCAGGGTCTCAAAGCTGGCTAGTCTGGGTGGCGTTCTGAACCCTGACACCCCCACTGTGCAGTGCCCTACACTCTGATGGATATGGATTCTGTTTGCACTGTCCACCCCTGTCTCCTCCGCGCCTGCCCAGCCCCTGTCATATAACAGGTGCCCAGTACACGTGAATTGGACAAGTGATGAGGACAATCTATGGCAAAGAAAGCTGCTTTCATTACACGGAGGGAGGGTTCAACTTTGCATCTGGGTTGGGCTTGCTTTTATTAGCTACTCAGCTGTAGGTAAAGTAAAAAACAACTAATGTTTATCCACCCTTTACTCTGCCAGGCAGTGTTCTAAGCGCTTTGCAGGCATTCACTCAAGAATCCTTGCAAGACCCCTGTGAAGTGTTTCCCCTTCTAATGTGCGGGGGGTGTGTGGGGGGAATGCACGGAGGCCACGAGTGTGCATCAGAATCCCCCGGTGGGTTTGTTAAAACAAAGTGTAGGCCCCCTCCCCAGAGTTGCCGACTCAGTGGGTCTGAGACAGGGGCCAAGAATTTGCATTTCTAACGGCCCCCAGGGGATGCTCTGCAGCTGGTCTGGGGACCTAACTTTGAGAACCGCTGTTAGAGGAACGTTAGGCCCACGCGGCGGAGCACGGCGCTCATGAAGGAAAGCGGCGTTGGGGAACCTTGTCCCCTACTGCAGGCACCCGGCCAAGCGGGAAGTGGTGATGGCGGTGGACGCCAGAGAAGCGGACAATGGCTGACTCTATTTGGAAGGCAGAGCTAACAGGACGTGCTCACCATGGATGTGGAGGGGGTGATGGGAAAGTTAAATGGAGGGCGACCCTTCCACGGTGGGCCTGGACGTTTGGGTGACTGACGGATTCATCTTCTAAGATGGCAGAGTACCGGGAAGAAGCAAGTTTCTTTGCTGGTGGGAGGGGGCCATAAAATTCTCTTCTGCCCACCTTAGGTTTGAGATGCCTGGTAGAAAACCCAAGTGGAGACGTCAAGGGGGCCGTCGGACGTGAGTGGGAACCAGGTCGGCGGTTCTCGGAGCAGAAAGGAGGCCGCTGTGGCCGGAACACACCAGGCAGGGGGGGAGAGAGGTGGGCCGGGCAGGTCAGGCCACAACAAGGCGGGTGGCTTTCACCGGGTCGGGGGCAGGAAGTTCTGACTCAGCCACTAACCGCTTGTGAAACCCAAACCTGGGGAAAGTTGTTGTCCCTGTAATGAATGCTTGTTTTGTACCGGCCACGGTCACGCTTCGTCTTCACACCGGTCGGGGAGGTGGCGGCGGGGTGGGGGCGGCCTCATTCTCACCCCTGATGCGGAGGAGGAAACAGGTGTGGACCGGCCGAGGACCACCCGGGGTCCACTGGGCTTGTGTGGGCCGCCATCCGGCCTGGAACCGTCTGGATAGGGAGCGTCAACTCATCTCTCAGATGTCTTTCCGCTCTGAGAACCGAATCTTCTTCCCGTTTCTGAGATGGGGAAACTGAGGCAGTCGTCTTGTCCGATTCCCAGGAGGGGAAACTGAGGCCAGAAACCGTGTGCCAGGTTCACACAGGCAGAGCAGGGCGCCTGGGCCACGCTCCCTCGGACCCGGCGGCCCGCTCGCGTCCGGATCCCGCCCCAACTTCGGACCTTGTGGGTTCTGCTCGGGTTCAGGAGGGGGTGAAATGCGACCTGCTTGTCTAGGAGACGCACGCCGCAGGCCCCGATTGGCGGACAGCTCTGGCCCGGGCCCCTCCTCCTCGCCCGCCCGCTCCTCGGGTTCCGGAGGCCCCATTTCCCGAGTGCCGCCGGCGCGCAGCCTCCTCCGGTCTCCACGACAACGCCGCCATGGCTCCTCCTTCTTCCTCCCTCGGCCCACCACCTCCCCGTCGGCGTGCCTGCGCATGCCCGAGGCCCGCGCGCGGGCCATTGGGACGTCCCCGCGTGCATTACGGGAAATGTAGTCCGAAACCTGGCTGGCTGAGAGGCCATGTTTGCGAGGGCCAATAGGTCGCTGGCAGCCCTCGACGCATCTTGGGAAATGTAGTTCTAGCGCTGGCACAGCCCTACGGGGAGAGACGTGCACTGTCGGCACGGCGCGGGCCAATGGGAAGCCATCTTTGCCGCGATGCTTACTGGGAAATGTAGTTCTGCTTAAGGCCGGTGGGGTGGCGGGCAGCTTTGTTGGGCGGTACAGGCGACTCGGTCTCGGAGGGTTGGGGGGAGGGGGACGGATGAGTTTGGCGCAAAGCCTGCCGGGGCATGGAGTCCCGGCGAGCTTTGTGCGCATGTGCGAAAAGGTGAGGGGCTTGGGGGAGCTCGCCTGGGAGAGTGAGGTGAGCGAGAGGGGA